GACAGGGCAGTTTTTTTCCCATGTGGGCGGGCAGGATGGTGTGTGTGTGTGTGTGTGTGTGTGTGTGTTGGGGGGGCGCTAAGCCGCTGCACAGAAGTATACAAGTGGACATGGACCTTTTGGTCCAGCTGCAGGCCCGCCCACAAATTGTGCCCCCCAGACTCAGGAGGCACCAGTCACCCCCAATTTGTTCAGCAAGAGCAACCTTTGGTCCTCCAATTCCAGAATCAGCTTGATGCCCTGACCCTCCCATAGGAGAGTGCAGCTTGTTCTGCCTGAACGTGATCTGCTGCTTTTTATAATTTGTCATTAGTCTCAGCCTCCCAACTTTATCTCTTTTGCTACCTTCAGCTAAGGTGAAGGGAGAGGTGCTGAGCCAGGGGGAAGGGAGCTGGACTGTTTGTGAATTTTATTTTCTGGCCCCACAAACCAGAGATCAAGTTCAGTTTCAGGGGCTGCTTCATTGACTTGTAGCACTGCAGGAAAAAAAATGCTCTTTCAGGATCTTTGTAATTCCTTTCATTTTTTAGAAATGCATAATTTACTGTTGGGGTGTTTCTCAGCAAGACCCTGCCTGCACTTCTTTATCTCCCCTCCTTCTGTCTCCTCCACGTTCATCTTGCTGTTTGTTGTCCTCAGATTGTCTTGTGGCCCCTTTAAATGTTTGCTGATAGCGCAGCCAGTTGCAATATTCTCTGAATATCTCACTTTTCTCCCACCGTTTCCTCCCTTTTCCCTGTCCTGTTCTGCTCCTTCCTAGGAAAATTCCCTGACATTTTATTTTCATTCTCTTCGGAGCATGCTATTTTCTTTCCCCTTTGGGTTGATTTTCACTTCTCTCGCACTTCCTGTTCTCTCCTTTCTTCACAGCTCCCTCCACTGTGCCCATCATGCACCAGGTAAGTGCCACCATGAGGAGCATCACGCTGTCGTGGCCTCAGCCGGAGCAGCCCAACGGCATCATCCTGGACTATGAGATCCGTTACTATGAGAAGGTGAGCCGGATCTGCACCCCCGAGATTAGCAGCACTGTGGGCTCAAGACCAGCCACCGTAAGCTTGAATGACAGCATGGGAAAGAAGGGGACGGGGCGGGAACATGCAAGGCTCTGACCCACCTCTGCTTTTTTTTCTTGTTCAGCATGGGCAGGATCCAGGGGCATTGAAGTCAGTGGAAAGGCTTTCAATGTGTATGCTGACGTGCAGCCCTGGGGAGTACATTGGGTGTTGGGTGGGGAATAGTGAAATAGGTAGGATGACACACAAATGATTTTTGATGAAATTTAGGTGAATGATGGATTTAGGAGACAAATGAATGCCAGGTCCCCCCGCATGCTTGAACATGGTCATGAATGCTAATACGAACAGGCTACAGGCATTTAAGACAAAAATGCATGTTCTTGGCCTCGGCTTACCCTAGGCTGAGCAGTCCCATGCTGCAACAGGACCCCAGACTCCAGTCTACACAAAGCTATAGAGAGCTGCATAGAGTGGCAGTTGTAATAAAGAGTTGCTTAAGGATTTGCATGGCCTGTGCTTTTATGCGCACTTGATACAGTCTGGCATCTGTTGCAGGTTTGTTCTGCTTAGGTTTCCTCCAACACAAAGTCTTGTCCCTGGGTTGTGTCCTGCCAAGCCCTTGCTGTCCCAGCCTGTGCTGTACTGCTGTGCTGGAGGGTGCTGCACATCTCAAGCACTCTGGACCCACAGGCCACTATCAAACCTCAACATTTCTCAGACAACTGTGCGTCCTTATCCTGACAGACAGCCTGAACCTAATTTCTCCCCAGGTGACAGGCTAGCACTCACAGCATCAGCAAATGCCTTAGCAATTGGTGGTGTTGCAGTGTTTCATGCCCTCTACTGTTATCAGGGTCCTGTTGTGCAAGGCACTGCACTTCCACATGGTCAGAGGCAATGACTTTGCAACCTCCATGGAAAGGGCAGATGGGATGGGAGACTACAAGGTGACTGCTCACTTGGGGGCTTGTTTTCCTTAATCACTTCTGCAGAAAGGCTCTTCTGATCTCTCAGAGCCGGAGGCAGTCATGGCACTTTGCCCACGGGCTGTCACTTCAGGAACATGCCACTGTCCCTTGGAAAGAAATATAGTACGGCTGAGCTTTACAAAGGTGCCCAGCCTCTGCTGATTTTAATTGATTTCTTCATTTGGTTGTGATTCATTAATGATATAAAATAGCCCCGCAAGCAGCGTCGCCTGTTCACAGCGAATCTCTCAGGCGTGTTCTAGGTGATATTTTCACAGATCTTCATTGTAACGACCTTTTTTAGCCATGCAGTAGCAGCCACAGCAGCACTTAGGCACTCGGTAAATGCTTTGAACCCAGCAAAGTGCTTGCCATGAATGTCTGATTGGATAGGTTATCGCCTTTCCTTATGAGCCTGGTTTCCTGAGTTGTGCATTAGTGTAAATGGCTCCAGAGCAAGGAATTCTACCTCAGGGCTGGACCATTAGACCTCAGACACATTTTTTCACCCCGACATTGAATGTTCTTTTATTGCATTTCCTCCTATTGTTCTTATTCCCCAGTGGGGCCGGCCTCCACAGTTCCACCTACATCTGGCTGTTTGCACCATGCAAACCATACTGATGTACAGTGGTCAAAAATCCCTTCCAGGGTTGTTTGACCTATCTATGTGACAGATAGATAAAGCTGAGAAGTGCATGCCCCATGCAAAAAACTGCCAGTCTCTGTAGTGGACTCAGCCAGAGATCCCCATTCCTCCTTTGATCTGGGTGATCTCCCCAGCTTTCCTTTTTGCCCCTTCCAACTGCATATCTTTTGAGGAGATTCCTCTGGACATCTTGCCACTCAACACCCCCTTGGATAGCTCAGCTTCCAGAGCTGGATGTTGCAGGCCACTGTCTTTCCCTCTCCCTTCCAGTAGCAAGGTAAGGGAGGCAGGAACTCAGCTCATTGATGGCACTAGATGGAAATGCTGTTTGGCCTGGGGCAGTGCATTAAAGCCCAGTGGAGAAGCAGCCTGAGGTTCCACCTGCTAGAAGCAAACCAGTGACACAGTGGAGTCATGGCAATGTGGAGGAGGGGCAGACAGAGGCTTGTAGGGGTTGAAGGGAGCTCAGCAAGGCTGCATTGGACACCTGCAGTGACATTGCACTTAGAGACAAAGGGTGGGGGGCTAGCTCCATGGAGAGCTTCTCCATAGAAAAAATAAGGGTTGGATGAAGCCTGAGGTCAAATCTGACCAAACCATATCTCCCATTCCCAAGTTGCATCATCCTGTAAGAGTCAGGTGGCCTTTCCACTGTGGTTGCTGTTTCAATCCTCTTGAATTTGTCAACAGCATTAGAGGTGGTGAAGCGTGTGCATTCCTTGTGTCATCTCAACATTACCCCTACTTAGCAGCTGAGAACACTGGGACCCCACCCCCAGCCACCCTGGGTATCCATCCCCCAGTCCCAGTGCCTGTGGATAAAAATGAGGAAAGCCAATAGAGAGGGCATTTAGTACCAGCATTGAGACGCAATGAGCAGTAAAGGGCAGAGTGTAAGCAGAGGTGGGTGTCATCTTATCATATAGATCTGCCACCACTAGCTGAGACAGCTTGTGCATGCACTGTCCTTCCTGAAGCAGCTCTGACCCTTTGGCCATGTCACTTAGGCCTGCAATGAGTTTTGCCACAGCACTGTTTATATTGACTAAGTGCCTGCTGCATTTAGGATGGTGCAATCCAATGCATGTTCCTTCAGGGCTCTCCCTTGCTTCTGAGAGATCAGGGACAGAGCTCTCTAGCTCCAGGAATCTCATTCCTTCAATGCATCAGTCTTACGCTGTGGAAATGCATCCCTGACTGCTGTCCTGTGCAACCCCTGGGTCACCACTGTTGCATTCATAGGCTACCTGCTTGGGAAGCTCACTATGGAGACTTGCTGTCTTGCCTCCCCCATCCCCTTTGATTGACACCATCATGTTGGTTTTTTTTTTAAATCTTCCCCAAAGGACCACAACGAGTACAACTCATCCATGGCCCGGAGTCAAACCAATACGGCCAGGATCGATGGGCTGAGGCCTGGGATGGTGTACGTGGTCCAGGTGCGAGCCCGGACTGTGGCTGGCTATGGGAAATACAGTGGGAAAATGTGCTTCCAGACGCTGACGGATGGTAAGTGAGTAGCAATAACACCTCAGGAGCAAGACAGAGAGATAGGGGGGAAAAGAGAAAGAAAAAAAAATGAGAGAATGCGCAGTTGTATTTAGAGCTAAAGCTCTGAGCTGTAATTGGATTAAATGAACTTGTCTCTCCAAACCACATCTCCCAGCGGGGCAGCGAGGCAAGAGCCAGGTGATTTACAGGGATGTTTGATTAATCGCCAGCTGGAGGAGTAATCTGTTTTAAATCTCTTATCTCTGTTTTCTCCCCCACCATTTAGCTACATTTTTGCCTCTCCCACAACCCTGCCTGGCTTTGCTCCTTGGCCTGTCAGTGAGGGAGGAGGGGGTGGGTCCAAAAAGGGGCATTAACCCTTTCCTGGCCTCACATCTCCTGGTTCCAGGAGAGACACTAAGAGGCAGTTCTGGGTGAATGGGGAAGTTTGTCAAGCTGAAGTGCTGATGCTGCGGTTGGGGCACGCACGGAGAAGTTCTGTGATGGTTTGCCTGCCATTGGGTTTACATATCCATAGAAATGGGAGGGCCGACAGCAAGAAGTCTGACGGCAGTGCAGAGAAGGAAGAAATCAGGCCTGAGTGCATTGGTGGGGTTGGGGGGGGGAGAGGAGATTGGGACAAGGAGTAGAAAGGGAGAGAGAAGCTGGGAAGTGATGCTGAAGGAGGGGAGGGTTGAGACTTAGGTGGAGACAGAGGCAGCCGGGTCTGTAACCACTACTGAACCCAGCAATACAGGTTGCGCTCTCGGGAAGGGAGATTCTGGAACAGCCTTCCAATAGGGCACAAAGCCTCACAGGCTTTAAGGTGGAGGGTGTTTTTTTATGAAAAGGATTTCTGACATGACTGCCTGAGATAGCTGGGGACAAGTGTCAGTAACCCAGGGGGAACCTGTGTTCCTAGCTATTAGGTCAGCTTGTCTTGTGTGTCTCCTGGCCATTGCAGCATTGCTGTCTCCACCCTCCTGTCTGCGTGCAGACTGGCTTTAACCACTCCTTCAGTGGAGCTTCCATTATTTCCTTTGAAGGTCTTTGTTTCACTGTCTAAGTCTCATCCATCCCACTTCTTCTGCTGGTCTCCCTTTGTCTGGTTCACTTTGCTTTTGGCACTGACACCCTCCAGATCCATAGAGATAGTGCTGACTCCCCCACCCCCTGCTCCTTAGCTCTCATTTCACCAAGCTTTCCGCATTCGGCTCTTTGAATCTCATATAAATCAATCCTTCCAGCCCTTTAATCAGTTTTATTGCACTTCTCTGAATAACATCAATAAAAGATGCAGAGACCAGAATAGAAAAGAGAGTTTTAAAAGGAGCTAGCCTTTCCATATCTGCTCCCTCCTACTCTGTATAATGATCCGTTAGTTATAGATTTGGTAGGCCATGATTAGAAATGAACAAACTGCTTCAGATCAACAAAAGAAGTGACAAGAAACTTTCCTCAGGCCCTGGAGCCTTTTTAAATCTATTCCAAAGCTCTTCAGGGCATATGGGTCTGAAATCCACTATTGAATGCAGCTGTTTGACTTCCTAGCTCTAATGCAGTACATTGTACAGAAAGGCCTAATTCATAAAGTTCCCTCCTTAGTCTCCTTACTCCCCAAAGTTTCCCAATGGCTATGTATGTTTGGGTCTATTCTTTTTGTTCCAGCCCATCACAGTTTTTCAGCATCAATTCCCGCCCCCCGCCCCCACTCCAAATTATAATATACTTAATTGTGAAGAGAACAGCCTTTGCAAATTACTTCTCTTTGTCAAATGGGGCTCCCCTTGTTCCTAAGCAGAAGGGCTGGAATTGATGAAGAAAGCCTCCTCTTGTGCTATTTCTGTCCTGCCCAAAAATGGTAGGTGCCAGAAATCACACCAGGCAGCCTCTCTTGCACTTTTCCCAGCCCAGTCAGACCTCTGAGCAAGTAATAAAGTTAGGTCTCAGTCCTGCAAAATACTGAGGACCCTTCTTCCAATCCAGTAAAGTATTTCAGCACGGGTTGCCCCACTGAAATCAATGGAGCTACACTGATTTTCATCAGCTCAAGACCTGACTTGCGGTGTCTGTTATCACCCCAATCTATAGACTTGCAGGCCTACACACCATGGCTGCTGCTTACCTATATTGTTCCAGTGAAACCATGCAATCAGTAGTCTGACATGTATATATGTGAAGCTTTCACCTATAAACACTTATAGTTAGTTGTTTTTCTCTCCTTTGGCTCTGTCTGGAGTTTTCAAAGGAGCCTAAAGGACTGAGTACCTCACTGAAATCTATTGGCAACTGGGTATGTACATTTTCCAGTCACTTTTGAATATCCCCACCCATTGCTTTTAATGTATATTGGGGAAGTGGGTAGAGAATCCCGTCCGGGTCCTATTGTCTCAGGTGCTATAAAGAAATGTATTGAAAGAGACAGGTTTAGCTCCAAAAAACAGAAGCCACTGTAAAAACTAGCCCTGCCATTGTTGCTTGGGAAAGACAAAGCCAACAAATTATGTGTGACCCTTGTGTCAAAACTGTTAATTCTTTATTTGGATTGCTATAGCAAGTCAAAGCTTCGAACAGCTTTGGTGCTGCATTAAAGTAGACACAAATGCCTGGTAGGAGCTGTCATAGCATCATAGACAATGAGGGTGGAAGGGACCTCAGGGGGTCACATCTAGTCCAGCCCCTGCTCAGAGCAGGACCAGCCCCAACTAGATCATCCCAGCCAAGGCTTTGTCCAGCTGGGTCTAAAAACCTCCAAGGATGGAGAATCCATCACCTCTCTGGGTACCTGTCCCTGCCACGAAGAGTGGTTATGAGAGGCAAAGTGAAATCCACTCACACGTGAATGAGTTGATTGGTCTGAGTCAGACAGTGGGGCTGTGGGAGAACTGGGAGTTAAACCTAAATCTCAGGCAAGTGTGTCAGCCACAGAATCGCCCCCCCTTCTCCAACAGGCTTTTCATTCTTCCTGCTCTAACTGAAGTTGCCAGCCTTCTGCTACCTCCTTTGGTGTATACTTGTGTCGGGCAAACATCTAACAGAATATGGAAAAAGTAGAATACACAGAATAACTGAAAGGAAAGAAACGAGAGAAAAAAGAATGGTTTGAATATTCAGGATTAGAGAAGCCAGGAGAAGATTGTGCCTCAGCTAAGCGATTAGTTGAAATGTAATCAGAATGGATATTTTAGATTATTAAATAATAATTGATTGTTAGATGCGAATTTCTCCCGATTGAAGTAGCAGACAAGAGATAATTCTGCTTACTAGTAATTAGCTGCAGAAAAGAAAACTAAAGATAAAAGGGTGCTAACCACTTCCTTTTGAATGGATTTAATTTTAACCCCTTGGAGACTGCTGTTGTCAAGACCTGCTGGGGAGTCTCTCTTGGAAAAAAGAGACTGCTGGTGATAGTTGTGTAGCATCCAGAGGCCCCCACCAAGACTGGGGCTGTATTCTGTGCTGGGCCCTGCATGAATATAAAGACACAGTCCTTGCTGCAGTGAGCAGACAAAGGATGAGAGGGGAAGCAGAGGCCCAGGGATTGGAAGTGGCTTGCTGAGGGTACCAGAAACTTAGAACCCAAGTGTCCTGCACCATTATGCAGTTCTCCATTGGCAGCAGAGTCCAGACCAGGACCCAGGAGTCCAGATCCAGGGCTCCATTCACTATACCAGTTAGTCTTACACTTAGGCCTATTTGCATCTTAAGTGTAAAGAAGTTTTACATGAAGTGTAAATGCAGGGGAAAGAGGCCTTAATGTAAATGAGAATCAGATGCTCACACTGAGCTCCTTCACAAGGCTCTGGACTGTGACATGTTCTTTCCATATCCCCCCTCCTAGTTTTAATTCTTCCCCTCCTGCAAAGTCAGTGAGTGCATTTTGATCCCAGATATTTTTTTTCCCTGCGGATCCATTCAAATGCTCTGAGCCCCTCAGTGGACAGCACATTTTTAGGAGCATCCTTGAGTGTGGCCAGGGAAATTAGCTTCTTCATTGCAGCTGAATATATCATCTACTTCTGTGTTCCATGGATTTCAATAGCTGTTTCCAGGAGAACTCTTCTTTTAAGCTCTTGAGTCTGCTTGATAGATACTTGGTAGATTACTCCCTAAAAGGACATTTTCTGCTCGTTCCTAGCATGCTGATGTCCTCAGGATGATCTGGAGGAAGGACAGGGAACAGGCATCTAAACCCTCTGAGCTTCATGATTTCGGATCATAGTTGTTGGGTAAAAGAAGGATGATGGTGAGATGCCAAAAGAGCTTAAAAGGAGTTAGCCCCCCCAACCTAATTGCAGCTAGACACTTCCTCTTGCCATAGTGTCTCACTCCCAGACTTCTTCCAGCTCCTCTGAAGCCCATTGTCAACTCCCTCTTGGCAGCAAGTGCAGAGGAAGGGACAACAGTTGTCCTCATCCCATCTCCCCTTCTCCAGGGACCTCAGGATCAAGTATCAGGAAGCCAGGCATCATGAGATGCCAGAGGGCTGTCCTGTATCCTGGCAGCATATAGCATGGCAGAGCAGCTATCACAGCAGCTCACAGAACTCACCGGCAAGGAAGGAGCAGCCTTCAGCTTTTGGCAAGATTAAAAAATATGCAGTTTCTCTATACCTATGGAACTTGTTTCACCTCTTTTTAAACCCGAAGCACATGTGATTCAGGCCTGGCAATCCATGTAGGAACCAGGTAAGCCCAATGCTGTATCCTCTTCACCTATGGTTTGCAAACACAGGCATTGTTCCCAGCCCACAAGTGTTTCTCGTCAAATTGCATCAATCTTTCACCTTTAACTAAAGATTTCCCTGCACAGTTAGGAGTCTTCAACCATTTTTTTGTCTCGATCAGAAGAAAGGAAGGGTAGCGGCTCTGACTTCCTCCGTAGCTAGTCCTGTTGAAGCCAGCTTGTACACTAAGGGACTTCTGAGGAAGAGAGTGACAGAATAGTCCCCAAGAAATCCACTCTTAGTTCATCAGGGCTGATATAGGCAGAGGGGAACTTATACAGCCTTTTCCCCTTACAGATGACTACAAGTCCGAGCTGAGAGAGCAATTGCCTCTCATTGCGGGGTCTGCAGCAGCTGGTGTGGTCTTCGTTGTCTCCCTGGTGGCTATTTCAATTGTCTGCAGCAGGTAGGCATGATTTTTACACTCTGGGTTTTGTTTCTTTTTGAGGGGGGTGGGGAGGGAGAGGATTCTCACTGCGGTAGTGTTTCCATGGAGGGGCCATTGGCTCTTGCGGCCCCTCTGACCAACAAACAGAAGCAGTGGGGTAAGGCTGTTCAGAGAACGAATTATTCACTGCTCTGCTTGGTCTAATGTGAAGTCCCATGCAGACATGATAGGAGCTATGCCAAGGTTCAGAGATGATAGGGAATGCAATGAAAGAATCCCTTACAAGGCACATTGTTGGGGAGAAATGAGGAATCCTTGTGATACTAAAGGGTAAGAACACGTGAGGCTGCAGCCTTCCATTAAGCACTGTCTACAGCTGAGTGAGCTGTAGACACCTAGCAAACAGCAGCTTACAAATGACCATGAAGCTTGCACTCAAGATTCCCAAGGCAGAACTGCTGCAGTCAGAGATGAGACCATGCATTTCTCAGCATGTGATAAATATTTCAGTGAGTTTTTATGAAAACACAATGAGAAGTGAGACATGAAACAAGAAGGGGAAGCGTGTTGCATTCAAGTGAACACAAACCATAGAGACAGCATCAGATTTATAGGAGTCTAATCAGGGAATTCACTTGAACAATGGGATTTCAACATGGACAGAGTGCTATTGCTTCCTGTCTCTTTCTTCCTCCCTTAGAAGAGGAGAAAGCCAAAATGTGGGTGCCGATTCCAAGGCTCCAGTCTATTCTGTGTCCTATCATCCTTTTCGTTAGGGACACTGACCATTTTGTGTCTCCTACTTTCAGATAGATGTGGGTAGATAGCAACGGGGGGCGGGGGATGTGTCCATGCATGTGTGTATCTCTATATATGCAGATGTATGATCACAACACTGAGGTGTGTGCACATGTTGGCGTGGGTATGTAATGATCATTTTTCCACAAAACTGCAGGTAAACCCATTGACTCAGACTCTTTGTGGATGGTCTGACTGGTCTAGATTATAATGCACCACTTATTCATTACTCAAGCAAGGCTTTTTCCTTCCCCCCCCCACTCTTTCCCCAGGAAGCGTGCTTACAGCAAAGAGGCAGTGTACAGTGATAAATTACAGCACTACAGCACTGGCCGAGGTGAGTGGAGAGAAAAATGCACAGTCGGGAGGGGTGAAGGAAGGAAGTTGTAACATATTCATGGGTGTGTATATTCTACGTGCCAATAATATTTATAGAGGGCTGGAAATATCCCTGTGGCTTTAAAAAAAACACAGAGAACGATAAGCTTTCTGCTGTACTCTCACTCAAGTGAAGAGGATGCTTAGGACAACAGCAAAAAAATCCATGCTTATAAGCTCAGAACAGAGCAGCAGTTTTGTGGGTTTCAAGGAGGAGGAAGTTGTTTGCCTCTG